TTCCTGATCAAAACCCTTCAGAGTGTAGGGATAGAGGGAACTTTCCTCGACATCTTAAAAGCCATCTACAAAAAGCCCACAGCAAATATCATTCTCAATGGGGAAGCACTGGGAGCCTTTCCCTTAAGATCAGGAACAAGACAGGGATGTCCACTCTCACCACTGCTATTCAACATAGTATTGGAAGTCCTAGCCTCAGCAATCAGACAACAAAAAGACATTAAAGACATTCAAATTGGCAAAGAAGAAGTCAAACTCTCCCTCTTCGCCGATGACATGATACTCTACATAGAAAACCCAAAAGCCTCCACCCTAAGATTGCTAGAACTCATACAGCAATTTGGTAGCGTGGCAGGATACAAAATCAATGCCCAGAAATCAATGGCATTTCTATACACTAACAATGAGACTGAAGAAAGAGAAATTAAGGAGTCAATCCCATTTACAATTGCACCCAAAAGCATAAGATACCTAGGAATAAACCTAACCAAAGAGGTAAAGGATCTATACCCTAAAAACTACAGAACACTTCTGAAAGAAATTGAGGAAGACACAAAGAGATGGAAAAATATTCCATGCTCATGGATTGGCAGAATTAATATTGTGAAAATGTCAATGTTACCCAGGGCAATTTACACGTTTAATGCAATCCCTATCACAATACCATGGACTTTCTTCAGAGAGTTAGAACAAATTATTTTAAGATTTGTGTGGAATCAGAAAAGACCCCGAATAGCCAGGGGAATTTTAAAAAAGAAAACCATATCTGGGGGCATCACAATGCCAGATTTCAGGTTGTACTACAAAGCTGTGGTCATCAAGACAGTGTGGTACTGGCACAAAAACAGACACATAGATCAATGGAACAGAATAGAGAACCCAGAAGTGGACCCTGAACTTTATGGTCAACTAATATTCGATAAAGGAGGAAAGACGATCCACTGGAAGAAAGACAGTCTCTTCAATAAAAGGTGCTGGGAAAATTGGACATCCACATGCAGAAGAATGAAACTAGACCACTCTCTTGCACCATACACAAAGATAAACTCAAAATGGATGAAAGATCTAAATGTGAGACAAGATTCCATCAAAATCCTAGAGGAGAACACAGGCAACACCCTTTTTGAACTTGGCCACAGTAACTTCTTGCAAGATACATCCACGAAAGCAAAAGAAACAAAAGCAAAAATGAACTATCGGGACTTCATCAAGATAAGAAGCTTTTGCACAGCAAAGGATACAGTCAACAAAACTAAAAGACAACCTACAGAATGGGAGAAGATATTTGCAAATGACATATCAGATAAAGGGCTAGTTTCCAAAATCTATAAAGAACTTATTAAACTCAACACCAAAGAAACAAACAATCCAATCATGAAATGGGCAAAAGACATGAAGAGAAATCTCACAGAGGAAGACATAGACATGGCCAACATGCACATGAGAAAATGCTCTGCATCACTTGCCATCAGGGAAATACAAATCAAAACCACAATGAGATACCACCTCACACCAGTGAGAATGGGGAAAATTAACAAGGCAGGAAACAACAAATGTTGGAGAGGATGCGGAGAAAAGGGAACCCTCTTACACTGTTGGTGGGAATGTGAACTGGTGCAGCCACTCTGGAAAACTGTGTGGAGGTTCCTCAAAGAGTTAAAAATAGACCTGCCCTACGACCCAGCAATTGCACTGTTAGGGATTTACCCCAAAGATTCAGATGCAATGAAACGCCGGGACACCTGCACCCCGATGTTTCTAGCAGCCATGTCCACAATAGCCAAACTGTGGAAGGAGCCTCGGTGTCCATCGAAAGATGAATGGATAAAGAAGATGTGGTTTTTGTATACAATGGAATATTCCTCAGCCATTAGAAATGACAAATACCCACCATTTGCGTCAACGTGGATGGAACTGGAGGGTATTATGCTGAGTGAAGTAAGTCAATCGGAGAAGGACAAACAGTGTATGTTCTCATTCATTTGGGGAATATGAATAATAGTGAAGGGGAATATAAGGGAAGGGAGAAGAAATGTGTGGGAAATATCAGAAAGGGAGACAGAACATAAAGACTCCTAACTCTGGGAAACGAACTAGGGGTGGTGGAAGGGGAGGAGGGCGGGGGGTGGGGGTGAATGGGTGACGGGCACTGAGGGGGACACTTGACGGGATGAGCACTGGGTGTTATTCTGTATGTTGGTAAATTGAACACTAATAAAAATTAATTTATTAAAAAAATAAAAATAAAAATAAAAATAAATAAATAAATAAAAAAATTCCCCTGGCTATTCAGGTTCTTTTCTGATTCCAAACAAAAAACAAACAAAAAAAAAAAAACTGCTGAGACATAAATATTTTACACACGCAGACTGAGAAGTCTCTTCATATTTGTACATGTGCACACATACATCATATAAAGGCTTGCGTCATAGTAATTTGATATCACGCAGGACTCACACACCCAGGTCAGGGACAGAAGCTGACAGAAGATGGAAAGCACAGCAAGGGCAATGTGACCTGTGTCATATGTGAGCCAGGTGACCCAGGAGATCAGCCACAGTGACTGTCAGTTAAAAAGGCTGCTGTTTCCCTTTACTTTGTCCCACATTAAAGCAGAATTCACTCCTGTGATTCACCAAAACCAGAAACAATCAGTGGAATTAATTCTGACAATACATCACTGGAGCACAAAAATTTTACTTAAAAGAAAATATTACCTTGGGCGCCTCTGAGTGGCTCAGTCGGTTAAGAGTCTGCCTTCTGCTCAGGTCATGAACTCAGGGTTCTGTGATTGAATCCCCTGTAGGGGCCCCTCTCAGCCAGGCGTCTGCTTCTCCCTCTCCATCTCCCCTCTGTGCTCTTGTTCACACTCTCGCCCTCCTTCAAATAAAGAAATATATAAAATATTAAAATTAAATTAACAAAGAAAATATTACCTAGAAATGGAAAGAGTTCTGAATCAAAGACACCTTATATTGTCACAGTCCTCGAGCTCACACAAGCAGGAATCTCCCAACAGAGACTGATCACCTGGCCCCAAACCCATGACCTAGTCCCTGATTCTTCTTCCCAACCTCACAGCAGCCCCAGTGTCACTTCTCCAGAGAGGCCTCCTCCAACCTCCCCCCACTCAGGGTCAGCCTGTCCCTTGGATCGCCATTTTCATAGTCTGTACTTTACTCTTACTGAATGGTTTTCTCCCCATTGTTGTTTTATCCATTAATTTATTGGTGGTAATTTATTGGTAATAATATTTCCTATTGGTTAAGGATATCTCAGTGCAAAACATACGCATGACAATCAGTGGCAGGAACACACTGAAGCCTATTTTCTCCCCTAACAATACGTCTGGGTCACGTGGTGTTTCTCCGGATTTCACCACATCCATGAGGTCCCAAATCCTCTCCGTTTCTGTTCCACCATCACTGAGGCTTTGCTCTTTATTCTTGAAGATGACAGACATCAGGAAGGCTGCTGAAGCTCCAGACATCACATTTATATTTCAGAGCAAGACACTACATTAGTCTAGTCTCATTCTTTTCCTCACAAGAGGCAAAGTCCCGGAAAGGACCCCACACACGGACACTTCTTTGGGCACATGCTGCACAACAGGGTCAATCCTGACACAGAGGGATGTCACTGTGGCGATGTTCTGGCTGTGGTATGAATATAGAAGCCAGGGGACAGGGGGCAGCTGGTAGAGACTGTGTGCTGTGTCACCAGAGCAAGTGTGTCCACCCTGCTCCCCACTCACAGCATAAATCTATGAGGCAGGACCTCTGCCTCGTTCACACTGATCCCCAGGACAGAATGTCTCCCAGACCAAAGTGAGCCTGAATGAATGTTGACTGAGTGTTCTCAGCTCCCTGGATGTGGAGCAGGAGCCACCACCACCCTATTTGGGCCCAGCACCCCGAGGCTGCACCAGTAAGAGACAGTTTCCGAGTCCTGTGTGCCCCAGGCACCCAGTCCTACACCCTACGCATGACCACCCACACCCTAGAGATGTGTGCTCTGAGGCCCCAGGGGTCGTCTCCTCCTCAGCTGAGCCTATAGCAATGTCCAAGGAGAATCCGATCCCCGCCTGCCTTGTCGAGGGACTGGCAGGGTCCATGAAGAGAAGAGTAACTTCTGCCCTGGGTCAGCAGGGCAAGAGCAGGGAACCAGGATGTGAGCAGTGGGCTCTCCATCTCCACCTGGACCAGGGACTTCCCTGGGCCTCCAGCAGCCAGTGCGGAGCGGCCACCAGGGGGCAGCAGAGATGACCTGGCGAAGCCACCTGCACAGGGGGCGAGCCTGGTATCAGGGGTTCTAACAGGAGGGGCTGAGTCACTGGGGCCTGAGACTGAGGGGAAGGTGCGGGATTTCTGCAGTATAACCTTGGACACTGATGTAAGTTCTGACCTGACGTCTCTCAGACTCAGGGGTCTCATAGATTTGCCTCTGTCACTAGCCCACCAACAGGACTTCACGGCTCTCCTGCCACCCCCTTCCTGCTACATCAGTCACTGTCAGACTTTGCCAAGGTCGGATCTCTCCTTTGCACTGAGTGCACCCTGGGGACACTGAGGCACAACCTCTATGACCTGCCCCAGGACTACCCCCATAGTCAGAAAGCTACAACACCTAGAGGGCCCCCAAGACCTCCGTATGCCCTTAGCAAGAGGAGAATTTTGTTGAGCTTGATGCCCACAGGGATCTGGGGTAGGACACTGCACTGTCCTCGGGCTCCTCGTGTCTCCCAGGCGCAATAGCTACAGAATCTAAAAGGGTAAACCAGACCCCACTAGACACAGAGGTTAAAGCACAGTCCCCCCATCTGAGTCTGGGCCTTCAAGGGGCTTCCCATCCACTTCCTTGTCCCTTGGGTCTGAGCCCTGCTCTCAAACCACAAGCTCCTCAGCAGCAGCCCCTGAGCCCTGGCTGATTTGCATGAGCAGCAGGTGTCTCCAGCAAGGGGATAAGAGAGGCCTGGAAGGGACCTCTAACCAGGGTGGGAAATGGGGAGCAGAATCAGGGCGCCTCACCCATGGCCTGGACCCCCCCTCCTCCTCAACTTTCTGGCTCACTGCACAAGTACTGAACCCTGGTCATTCCCAGGCAGGCAGCAGGGTTGTCAGTCCAGCCCAAAAATGTCCCTGAGTCTAGAACAGGTGCCTGAAGGGCGTAGGATCCAAATGAAAAGACTGGAGGAGTGGAGTCGTTCCAATGTGCTCACTCACTCTGGGAGAGCCTGAGGGTCTGCCCTGACCCAAGGAAAATTAATGTGTCTCCTTTGTTCAAAGGCTCCATCCACCAGCTATACCCAGGGTACCAGGGGTGAGATGAGGGGAGGTAGAAACAGACCCCCAGAGACTTGTTGGGGCTGAGGTCTGGCAGGTGGGGTTCACATTGAATTGAGGCCTGGAGCTGGGAACCCACCTATCCTTTTCTCTGCTGCACGTGCTGTGGCCTCCTATGTCCTGAACCAGCCGTCATCAGTGACTGTGACCCTGAGGCAGCCGGCCCACATCACCTGTGGGCGAGACAGCATCGGAAGTAAAAATGTTCAATGGTACCAGCAGAAGCCGGGCCAGGCCCCCGTGCTGATTATCTATGGTGATAGCCTCAGGCCGACAGGGATCCCTGAGCGATTCTCTGGAGCCAACTCCGGGAACACGGCCACCCTGACCATCAGCGGGGCCCTGGCCGAGGATGAAGCTGACTATTACTGCCAGGTGTGGGACAGCAATGCTGATGCTCACAGTGACACAGGCAAATGGGGAAGTGAGACATGAAACCTTTCTCCCATCTGCGTCACCCACCCCTCCACCCCGGAGGCTGTGCACAGGCAGGATCGGGTCTGCCCCAGGCCCCCTCATCTGAGGTCCCCAGACCCTCCCTCCTACCCAGGCCTCAGCATGTCTGCACCTGGAGGTTCAGGAGAGTATTTACAGCTCACAGCACTAAGTTTCCCTGGTTCCCTGGCCCTGGCTGTGACAGGGGACTGAGGGCCTGGGGAGAAAAAGACACAGGGGGACCTGGGCCAGGGGCCATGTGCCTGCATTTCCATCGCCATCTTGGGCTAATGCTCTTCCAAATGACCAGGCTGAGCACTCCAGTGTTTCAACTCATCTGAGCTCCTGACACCCTGGGGACCTAGGTGGAGCCTTCCTTCCCTGAGTGGACCTATCAGGAGCAGGAGACATCAATGGTCACCCACACCTCTCTTCTGGCTCACATGGCCCCCCACTGCTGCCTGGAGCCCCTGACAGCTCACAGGGGGTGCAACTCATGGGGAAGTGCTTTGGCCCTGAAATCTGCTACCCCAGGATCTGTTCCTTCTCAGAGAGCCACAGATGAATGATGTCCCCATGCCTAGATCCTACCCTGCCTCATGCTCCCAGGTCTGAAAGGTCCCGGGGATGAGCTCCCTGCAGGGAGGAGGTGTCATTTGATGGCTCATCTCTCTTGGTCACTCTCCTTCTGCCCACGCTGATATCCCTTCTCCTTCCAGATGTTTTACACATGCTCTTCTCCAACTCAGAACCTGCTTCCAGGAAACCATTCTAGGGTGGCTGGCATGACAGCCACAGTACTCAGGGAACAGAGGAGGCCCCTGTATATACACACACAACCTCCCAGTATGAAAGGAGGCCGGTCTCACAAGGTGACACATAAGAAGCCACCGAGTCTCCCTTTTCAACAGGAGATCCACTCAGATCCACACAAACCACAGCCTGCAAATAAGGGGAATATCGAGTCCTTGCTTCCACCTGATAATGTGCAGCTGTCCTGACACAACCACACATAAGTTCTTTCTCCCTTAGGAGGATACAAGCTTCGCTTCTCTCTGCTAGGGATATTGATCTCTGCCTCACCGGATTTGTCATCCTCAACGTCGATACTGAGATAGAAAGTTTGCTCCTGTGAACACACATGATGTTAGGTGCTGAAGGGCTGACACAGGTGGAGGAAACAGAAACATCTGATGATAATGTAGCCAGGTGCATTCCTGCCACAGAAGGAGAAACACTGGATCCTTCTGTCCTGCTCATTTCAGCCACTACCCTGTGCTCAGAGGGGGTCTGTAACTACTCTCCTCACCACGAACCCCACGAGCACCTTCCTTCAGAACACACCTGAGCTAGTGATCATCCCAGCCACTGGGTGGGACTACAGCTTCCTTGGGGAATTCTGGTCCATCATCGGACCTGCTGAACTGGAATGTGGTACAGTCATGACTTTATCACAAACCCAGGGAGCCCCCGGGATCCCCTGAATCCATTCATACCCCTGCCTGCCCCAGGTGTGCAGAGACACCAGTTCCCCCGAGATAGCACAACTCACCCCAGCCAGCGTCCTTACTTCTCCTGAGTCATTCCAAGAGGAGCTGAAGGGAGACCGGATACACTTGCTGCCCCCATAGCTAGGCAGGTAGTGTTCCCGGGGCATCCCCCAACCACAGGACACATTTGTCGGCTAGACACAGACTATATCATTTTCAAAAATATTTTCATTATTTAAGAGGCAGAGAGAGAGAGAGAGAGAGACAGTGAGAGAGACATAGCAGAGGGGAAAGCAGGTTCCATGTGGGGACCCTGATGTGGAACTTGATTCCAGGACCCCAGGATCACAGCCTGAGACAAAGGTAGACACTTAGTCACTGAGTCACCAGGCTCCCCTCAGAAACTAATCTTGATACATTCTTTCCCACATCACTACAGGCTCCGAACTGAATGAGGCTAAGGTGCCCTGAGCAGGACAGTTAAGGCCCTTGTCCCAGGGGCCCCTAGGGAGATAAGCAGAGGAAGTGAGACTTTCCATGGAGCCTGGACCGCCACCCTGTGAGGCTCGGTGTGCACACAGTCCCCAGAGGAGGGGGGAGCCCCAGGATGCAGGTGCAGGTGGAACAGGTGAGGGAGGGTGAGGCCTGGGCATCGGTGGGTGGAAGAGTTCCCAGTGGAGCCGGTGGCACTGGTCCTCTGAGGACCACACTGTGAGCAGATTCACCTGTACCCCCCACTTCCGGCACAGGTGACAAGACCCCAGGGAGACACCGTGAGGCACCAGGGCCAAGATGTCCTTCCCAACAGACTCCATGGGGTCAGGGCCTTGTCATCACCTGTATGCTCACGGCTCCCTCCTAAAGGCTGGGACAGTCACTGCAGAATGAGCCTCCCTGTCTCCCTCAGACCCTCTCTCCTCGCCCCCTCTCACTTGCAGGCCCTGCCTCCCCTGACCCGAGGCTGACATTCACTCCGTGTCCTTCACCCTGGGTGGGCACAGGATCCTCTGCTTGGGGAATGAGCTCAGCCGTGAACATGCCTCTCTGCCCAGCAGAAGCCAAGCCCGTCCCCCAGCCGGTCATACAGACATGAGTGACCATCCAAGCCCGATTCTGAAGGTGTAACACGGGGACCTGGCCCCACTGAGGATGAGCAGACTGAGGGCCAGGAGAGAGCTGACCCCTGATGTGACAGTTACTGTGGCAATGGGAGCGCCCAGCAGTGACGGATGTGACACAGAAGGATGGGCGGTGGGACACACACCCTCCTCCGTGGCCGGCTCTCCCTTTTTCCTGCCCTCTGAGCAGCTGCTGGTCAGTCCTCAGGATCAGGTGTCCTCCCTGGTCCCGACCCACCCCTGAAGGGAGGAGACTCTTGCAGGCTCTCTGCCCTCCCCCTTCCCCTCCGTGATCACCCCTCTGCCTCTCAGGGGAAAGGTTGAAACTTTTCTTGCAAAGTTGGCTATCTTGTCTCTAGAGACTTTATGTCATACATCATGTGGGTGCAGAGGTCACCATCTGTTGCTCAGGAGGGGAGAAAGGTGTCTCAGACAGCACGGTCTGGCAGGAATCCTCTTCTCCTGGATATAGGTGGCCCAGATGGGCCCCAGGGGCTGCGTCACCTCTGGGTCTTGGGCGAGGTGTGCCCACCCCATGAAGGGCTCCCTGGGGCTTCCTGAGAGGGATACACATCCCTGCCTCCCCAGGCCCTTCTCCCAGGGTTTTACAGAATCTGTAAGGAAGTGCAGACACCACCTGGGGCCACCTGGTAACTTCCTCCTGGACCACTGTCCTACCAGGGCCCAGGGCCCAGGGCCCATCACCTGCACCAGGCAGCTCTGACCCTTAGCTCAGGTCTGATCCACATGGACTCACACCCTCAACCGAGTGACCCTGAGTGGTAGCCATGGCTGCTTTCAGGGCACTTCTGTCCTCTGAGGGGAAGGACTTTCTTCCAAGACTTAAAAAGAACTTGTATATCAATGGAATTTCTCTTCATGATTCTTTGCATTGTTCTTTTGAAACTGATTTGGACACAATTGCTTGAGGTTCAAAGGACAGATGAGCAATTTACTAAGAAGACAAGAAGCTTCCCCTATTTCCACTCTGGCTCTTCAGGTGGACACCTTCTTGGGAGTGAGAGACGCAGGACAGAAAATCATTTTCCCCTCCCTCATGAACGAATGGCAGGTACAATTGCAATCCTTCCTCTAAAAATTACTTACCGGGCAGCCCAGATGGCTCAGTGGTTTACGCCACATTCAGCTCAGGGCGTGATCCTGGGGTCCCGGGATCGAGTCCTGCATTGGGCTCCCTGCATGGGCCGTCTTTCTCCCTCTGCCTGTGTCTCTGCCTCTCTCTCTCTCTCTCTCTCTCTCTCTCTGAATAAATAAATAAATCTTTAAAAATATATAAAAGTAAAAATTACTTTCTAACCTGATGAACTAGAAAGTCGGTCTTACGTGGGAATCCCTTGCAGGAAATAATCATTCCAGGGAGTTTTCAGGTTAAAGGAGGGTGGAAAGTTTTCCCTGGAGAATCAGATGTGGTGATTCTCCCCATAGAGTTGCTCAATAATGGGACATTTAATGCGTGGTGCCTCCCTGGTCCCCAGATGGCCTTCTGACCACTTGCCTGCATCAACAGTATGCAGCTGGCAGACTGAGAGGAAGAAGCTCAGGACCTAGAACATTCGGGCTGAGGCTACCCCAGCTCCTCTCAGCCTGTGCAAGCCCCATCCACCAGCCAGGCCCATGAGTTCCAGGCACTGAGAGGAGGGGAAGGTGGAAACAAGAACCAGAGAATTCCTGGGACTTAGGCCAGGCAGGTGGGGTTCTGCTTGAGATGAGACCTGGAGCCAGAAGTCAACCTCTATTCCTGTCTCTTGCAGGTTCTGTGGCATCCTATATGCTGATTTAGTGGCCATTGGCAAGTGTAAACCTCGGCCAGTGGGCCAGCATCTCCTGTGGTGGAGACAACATTGGAGGGAAAACTGTCCAATGGAACCAGTAGAAGCCTGGCTAGGCTCCCATTACGGCTATCTATAAAGGTAGTGATCATCCCTCAGGGATCCCTGAGCAATTCCCTGGCCCCAACTCGGGGAACGGGGCCTCCCTGAACATCAGCGGGCCTAAGCCGAGGACGAAGCTATTACTGCCAGTCAGCAGATCTTAGTGGTAAGGCTCACATTGATACAGACTGATGGGGAAGTGAGGCTCAAGCCCCTTCTTTATCCATATCACCCTTCCTCCAACGTCAGGGGCCTGTACACAGAGCATGAGTAGGTCTCACCCAAGTCCCCACATCTGGGGGCCCCAGGCTGCCCCCCCTCCCATCCCTGCAAACGAGCTCTGCACACAGCGAATTGGCAGAAAATGTGGACACATTTATTGTGACTGTGTAATCAGCACCTGTAAGCACATGAATGACCGTATTTGTAGGAGCAGATACAGAAGACATTTTGCAAAGACCAAATCTTTTAAAACTCCCTGGAAAAATAAATAAATAAAT